AGACTCCGGGGACATGGGATCAGCCTTGTGGGATACAGTGTGAGCCCTGTGGGACACAGTGTGAACCTTCAGGGACAGGGTATGAGACTCCGGGGACATGGGATCAGCCTTGTGGGATACAGTGTGAGCCCTGTGGGACACAGTGTGAGCCTTCAGGGACATGGGATCAGCCTTGTGGGATACAGTGTGAGCCCTGTGGGACACAGTGTGAGCCTTCAGGGACATGGGATCAGCCTTGTGGGATACAGTGTGAGCCCTGTGGGACATGGCATGAGACCCCCAAGACACAACACGAGCCCCTCAGGACATGGTGTGACACCCCCTGGGACGTGACACGAGTCTCCCGTGCCCACCCTCGCCCCCATCCTGCCCCGTCCCCCTCCGCCCCCGTACCATGAGGATCCTCTTGGGCTCCTGGTAGCGCAGGCGGGTGGTGGAGCCGTCGATGCCCACGAGCAGGACGGGGTAGAGCCGCCCGTAGTGCTGCCGGTGCAGGTGGGACACGGAGGCGCGGTTGGAATTGCTGCGGGTGGAGGCGGCCAGAGGGAGCCGGGACACGGCCCGGGGGTACAGGACACTGTGGGAACAGGGACACGGGCAGGTGTCACCGTGGGGGTGACGTGAACCTCCATCCCACAGCACAGACCTGGTGCTGTCCCAGGGGGTCCCAGACCCCACAGGCTCACCTCAGGGCCCGGCTGGCGGCCATCCCAGCACAGGCGGGAGACTCGGGACCCTCACGGAGCACACGGAGCAGGGGACACAGCCCAGGGACACCCTGGGGACAAGGAGAGAGCTCCTGGGGTGACACCGGTGTTCCCATCACAGGGAGAGCCTCAACACTCCTTTCCCGTCGTGGATCAACCCCATGGCAGCTCCTGGCAGGGTTTGGCTCCGACATGGCTTCCCCCACCCCCATAATGGTTCAGCCCCAGCACATCTCCCCCCGCCCTGCAGTGGTTCAGCCCCAGCTCCCCCCGTCCCCACCATGGTTCAGCCCCACGAGGGTTCCCCCCTTCCCCAGAATGCTTCAGCCCCATTAGGGATCCCCCCATCCCGATAATGGTTCAGCCCACGACCTCTACCCCGCGCCCCCGTCATGGTTCAGCCCCACTATGTCCCCCCTTCTCCATTATGGTTCAGTCCTACCATTCCCCCCCTCCCCATAATGGTTCAGCCCCACAATGTTTCCCCCTCATCACCATAATGGTTCAGCCTCACCACGCCTCCCCCCGCCCCGCAATAGTCCAGCCCCGACTCCCCACACCCCGCCATGGTCCAGCCCCACCATGTCTCCCCGCACCTCATCGTTCTGCCCAACACAGCCCCCCCCGCCGCCCGGCAATGGCTCACCCCATGTTCCCCCGTCCCTCCCGCGCTGTTCCCCCCCGCATCCCCTCATGGTTCAGCCCCATCCCCGCTCACCCTCCCCCCCGCCCGCTCGCGCCCTTGGTCCGTCCCGCCGCCGCGGCCGCGCGCTCCACTCAGCCCCGCCCCCGCGGTGACGTCACGGGGCGGTGGGCGCGCGCGCGCGCGCGCGGGGGCTGCCGGGATCCGCCCGCCCCCCCCATCCCCTCATGATCCACGGGCGGATTCGCGGGGCGGGAATCGCCCGGGCGGGTGAGCGGGGACGGGGACACGGGCTGAGGGGGCACGGCCGGCCCCGGGGGTGCCGAGACCCTCGCGGGGATCCTGGTCTGAGCGGATCGTGGGAGCTCAGTCGCTCACAAGGGCCTTGGGCTGAGGGGGCACAGGCGGCCCCAGGATGCTCAGCCGCTCGCGGGGACCCTTCTCTGAAGGGGCGCGACCACCTCCGGGTGCTCAGCCCCTTACGGGGGTTCTGCGCTGAAGGGGACCAGGGTGCTCAGCCCCTCACAAGGATCTTGGAATGAGGGGTCCTGGGATGCTCAGCCCCTCATGGGGGTCCTGGAATGAGGGGTCCTGGAGCGCTCAGTCCCTCACAAAGGCCTCAGGCTGAGGGGACTCAACCGGTCCTAGGGTGCTCAGCCCCTTATGGCGCCCCTGGGCTGAGGGGTCTTGGGGCGTTCAGCCTCTCATGAGGTCCTGGAATGAGGGGTCCTGGCCGGTTCTGGGGTGCTCAGCCCCGTAAGGAGCCTTGGTTTGGGGGTCCCAGCCTGCCATGGGGTGCTGAGCTTCTCATGGGGGTCCTGGGGTGCTCAGCCCCGCACAGGGACCCTCAGCTGAGGGGGCTCAGCCAGCCCAAGGTGCTCAGCCCCGCACAGGGTCCCTGTGCTGAGGGGCCCCGGGGTGCTGAGGTGCTGACCTGGGGGTGCTGATCCCACCCCAGAGCCCCCTGGATGAGGGGTCTGATCCCCATCCCTGGGGATGCTGAACTCCCTATGGCCCTCAGAGCCCTGCCCCTGCCCCGTTATCCATGTGGGCTGGCTGAGGGAGGGTGGGATACACCACCCTGGGCTGGTGTATCCCCAGCCCTGAGCTGGGATATCCCTGTTCCCACTCAGATAAGCCAGACAGGGAAGTGCACGTGGAATCAGTTTGGTTTGTGGTTTGGGATAAGCCTCCTCCGGGTATCCAAAACCAAAGCCCTGCGTGGTGAAAACACCTGTGGGGAAGTGGCTGGTGAAACCACAGCAGGGCGAGCCTCACCTCTGCAGAGGTTCACCCAGCTGGGTAAACTGGTTCCAGCCAGTGGGTGGGTTAAACTGGTCCAGTTTGCAGCCGAGCACAGTGCTGGAATCACTGGCCTGGACCTTGGAGATTCCTGCAGTGACCTTGAGCAGGTGGTTCATGTTCCCTCTGCAGCATCACTGCTGCCTGCAAGGGGCAGTGCCCATAGGGCGCGGCCAGGGGAGGGGCTAATTAGTGCTTATTAGCTAATTACTTCCGGGGGAAAAGGTGCCTGAGTGTTCCTGCCAGCTCCCTGCTGCAGTGGGATGCTGCTCATGGAATCACAGGATGGGGAAGGTTGGAAGGGACCAACCTCCCTGCTGCTGTTTCAGTGCTGCACATAACTCCCTGTCTGCCAGGGCAGATCTCTGTCTCTTTGGAAATAATCCCAAATCTTAGAAAGGTGGGAGTGGCATCTTTTTAAGGAACCTGCTAAAAATAGGGAGGAGGTTTATAATCCTAATCCAGGAGACCTTTCTCAAGGCTCCAGGGAAACTGCTTTAATCTTCTTTTCTTCTTTGTAAATGGGGCTTTGCCTTCCCTGCAAAGCCTCTCTGCTAATCAGCATTAATTAGTTTAACTCTTGTGATGTCTGTCCTTTGCTTTCCTGGTTGTGTTGCTGCCTCCCAGGTAAAATCCAGGGTGAGTTTAGCAGGCAGGAGCAGACCAGGAAACATTCCTTGATTTAGGGACAACGTCCTGTATGCTCCTTCAGTGACCACTTCATCTTTTTGGAGCCCAGGGGGGTTCACAGGGCCATTTGTCCTCAGTCCCAGGTGTGAGACCTGCCCAAATATTAATTAAATAATTAATTAGTCGTGCTGTTCTCTGGCTGATCAGCTCCCTGGTAGTTTTGGTGGGTTAGACTGGATCCAAACCCATTTTTAGGAGACCCTCAGTGCTGGGTGTTTGCAGATTGGCTGCTTTGAAAATGCCAAAACCTGAGCAAAGGATAAAAAAAATCCAGACACTTTGCTCAAAATAAATCCATCTTTGTGATGTTCCTGCTGCAGATGGCTTGGAAATGGGATGCAGGGATGCATTCCTGGGATGCAGGGTTGCATTCCTGGGCTGCAAACAAAACAGGAGGGAGAAAAAGCCCCGTATCCATCAGATCTTGGGCCTTTTTGGTGCTTTACTTGTGGGTTTTGAGGGGTTGGGAGGAGCTGCTTTGGCAGAGCTGTGGATCCAGGGAATGAGATCAGGGACACAGGGCTGAGTGGCTCTTCCTTAGGAGTGGATTTGCCCTGGGAAGCTGTGGCTGCCCCATCCCTGGAAGTGTCCAAGGCCAGGTTGGATGAGGTTTGGAGTAACCTGGGATAGTGGAGGGTGTCTCTTTCCGTGGCAGGGGGTGGAATGAGATGTGCTTTAAGGTCCCTTCCAACCCAAACCATTCCAGGATTCTGTGAAATTCCCAGTTTGCTGCCCACGAGGGCCCAGCCCCATCACCTGGGAGTGGGAATGCCTTTTGTTCCCTCTCAGTTAAGACCTGTTTTCCTCGGCAGATTCCAGCAAAAGATGAGGGATCCGTGAGGGAGGCCAGAGGAAGCACCTGCAAGTCCCTTCTTAGTTTAATTTTAGCCTGTTTTCCAAGGAAGTGAGACAAGTGATCACACCCAGGTGCCTTTTCTCACATAGTTATGAGTATTTTTAGGGAAAAAAAAAAGGGGGAGTGAGGTCAAGGAGAGGATCCCAGTGTGGACGTGCTGGGACATGGTTTGGATCTGTGGGCAAGAGGAGGAGTTTCCCTGGGGCCTTCGTGGTCCTTGGCCTGAGGTGAAGCAGTGGCTGGAGGTGACAGCCCTGTGTGGATTTGGTCCAAAGGAACTGCACTGCCTGCAGAAGGAAGTGCCTGGAAGTGTCCAAGGCCAGGTTGGACAGGGCTTGGAGCAACCTGGGCTAGTGGAAGGTGTCCCTGCCCATGGCAGGGGCTGGGAACTGGATGAGCTTTAAGGTCCCTTCCACCCCAAACTACGTGCAGGTGAAATCCTTGTCCCTTTATGCTGGTGACTGTGAGGTCACCTGCAGGGACAGGGACAGTTTTCCTGTTTCCCATAATCCCAGGCCAGCCCCCCTCAGCCTTTTGGGGGTGTTGGATGCAGCTTTGCCAGGTGGGAGAGCAGGGAGCGGAGGAGGATCCACGAGGGCAGATTAAAGCCCAGTGGGTGGCTCTCATTGGCCATCTTAAAACTGCAGCTCGTTAATTAAGGCTTTAGGAGCTCACAAATAGCCCAGCTCTGTGTCCTGAGCTTGTCTCTGCTCCCGGGGGCTGGACTGCATTCCTTGGCTGGAGGGGAGCAAAAGGAAAAGGTAAGGATGCCTTGGAACCTGCTCCCAGCCCATCCCTCCCACCCCTTTCCTGCTTGGAGTTGAATGAAATGATTGGAAGTGATTTTGGGCAGCTTAAAATTCCTGGTTTTCTATCCGTGCCCGCTCAAGGGCAGGGGAAATTTTGAGGTGGGAGCGGGGAGAGGAAAGCTCTGTTCCCTCTAGCTGGGATCTAGGACTGGGAATTGCACATCTGGAACAGCTCCTGTTGGCACAGCTGGATCACCTTGGAGGGGAAGCTGTGAAACAGCTGGGCAGGGTCTGTGCTGCCATCCCAGTGTCCCATGTGGAGCTTTCCAGGTGGCTGAGGAAGCTGGTGTGTGATGAAGGAACATTGTTTGGGAGCAGTGCTGTGAAAGTGCCCTGGGGTGTTGAATTTCTGTGGTTCCTTCCTCTTTTGGAGTGTTTTCCAAGGAAATGCTTAGGGCTCACCTGATTTATTGATGTGGAAGAGAGGAACTGTCAGGGGCAGAAGAGAGGGAAATGCTTTGGATGACTCCTCAGGGATCCTCTGCTTCCTTGCTGCAGGCACTTTGCTGGTCCTTTTCCCTCTTCTGGTATTGAATATTTAGGCAAAACCTGTGATATTTGGAAATCACCAAAATTCAGGGACTAAGGGAATGGTGAGAAGGTCCCCAAAAGGGCTTCCTGGAGCTGCTGTTTTTTGGATGATGGAGCTTAATCCAGCAACGTGGTGATGGGACTGATCCTCCAGGATCCCTGGAGAACATTTGATCTGATGGATCTCCGGGGCTGCAGCACCTGGAAAACACCAAGGGCAAAAAAAAAAAAAAAAAAAAGGAGGAATTTCCTTGTGGATAATTATTGCCTGTGGATGTTTAACTACTTAGACTTTGAATATCCCAGGTCAGACAAGTGTCCTCAGGGAACAGAGGGAGAAGTTGTGTCACTCCCTGGCTGTTGTGCTGCCTGCTGGGGGGGATTTAGGGATAAGGAGGTGTCCAGGCTGGGGTCAGGGAGGCAGCCAGGCTGGATTAGCTGCTTTGGGGAGACAGCACTTGGCTTAAGGCTGGTTAAAAAGTGAGCTGGAAGGTCGGGCTGACATTGCTCTGAGCTAATTTAAATGGAAAGGCATTACCTGCCCCCGGGGTGGTTGCTCCCCAGGCCACACCCAGCCCAGGAGGTTAAAAAAAACCTGCTTTTCCCGGGATTTTACTGCTTGAAAAAGTAATTTTTAAATAGGAAGAGCAGAACTGCCTTGTTTGATTTGTCACCTCTGCCTTGGAAGCTGCTGACGGATGAGGGTCCCCAGTGGTACCCCCTTCCCTCTCAGACAGCATTTTCTTCTTTATTCTTCTTTATTCTTTGTAAAAATATTATTAATCTTGATAATTAACATATCTTCTTCCCCAGAGAGGCAGGAACATAAAAACACCCTTTTTTTTTTTTTCCCTTTCTGGCTGAAGAAACAACTGCAGCAAGTTCTGTGTGGCCCCAGGCTGCCTTTCCTCAACCTGGAGCAGGAGCTGAACCCTTCCCTC